CACATCACCACCCAACATAATGCCTCATCTCATGTATTATTATTCACCGAATATTATTCACTTGCACTACTGCTAAATTGAAATTGACAGCTATTTTCAAGTTACGTTTCAGAGCTGAACTCAGCGTTTGAGTTCGATCTACAACGGGTATTTTATAAATTGCTAGTAAGATATTTAAAGAAAAAAAAAAAGTTTATACTATACAATCCAACATTAATTTAATATCACTGTGACATTAAATGTCATTCAAGACATACCGGATCGAACAACTAAATTTTGTATAATATTGTATTGTATCAGTTAATTGAAAGTCTATGTACTAATATTTCGAGTATTCAATTGCTTTTAGAATATTTAAAAGATTATTCGTGTATATTAAACTAAATAAATGTGTTTATTAGATCGAGGTGAACATAAAACACACCGTGTTATTTAATTTCGCTGAAGACTAATTAAATTATATAGCATTCGTGTATGAAGCGCTTAGTGTTCCCGTAAGGTAATCATTCGGGTAAAGTCGGCTCGAGTCGAATTATTTCGGCATTTGAATTGAAATCAGAACGGAATACTGTAAGCAAGAGAAATTTTCAGCAATTCGTCCTCTTTGTTATTAGCTATAATTAAAAATTGTATTTTATAATAAGTTAAAATAATGATAGCTCCAAAAAACTAAATAATTACTACTGTTTTGAACATTTGGACTAAAATATCTCAAAATTGAATATATATATATATTTATTAATGTATATATAGAACACAAAAAATATTGCAGACACCCAATAATTGGTCTAAGGCATGGTGATGCTCTGGATATTACATACTATAATTTGTTAAAAAATGAATTTAGAACCTGACAATGGAGCACGTTAGACTTAAGCCATCGACAAAGAAACATGGGAGTTCTGAAGATTGGAGTAAATTTTCTTAAAAAATAAACATGTAAACTCGGAAATACAACAAATAAATCAATTGTTTAATTGGAAGTTATTGTTGCCAAAAACAGAGAAAAAATATTTCATATTATTAATCTCGCCTTGTTGATATTTTAACTTCTATCGCGTGGTCTTCAGCACACACCGTAGTTTTTTTTTCGTGAATGATTATAAATCATACATAGATTAATGATCTTTATAATAAATCTAGTTTTAAATAATTTAGCAACTTATGACTGAAACATAAATATACAGGATACTACAATATAACAGAAAGATTATTGCTTTGTCTTGTAAATTAAGCCACTTTTTTTTCTTTTTTTTTAAATATTATACAGAGAGAATTACACTAACAAAAAAACGAAAATGTCGTTTACGTTTATTTTGGAAAGTTACTTAATAGCTTGGAAGGAGGGAAAAGAAATACTGGAATCCTGGAAGAAAGATGGCGACTGAAGGGCGAGAGAGATAGGAAGGTAGGTGCGCCTTTTGCTTGTTGCCCGCAGGTATACGACAATGGGAACCGTTACTCGCCTCGTACCTCCATCTGCAACACCTACCTCTCTTCTCACTCCCTCACTCTTCATCTCTCAAATCCGAGTATCATTATTCTCGCCGATCATTCTTTTAGCTTCATTCCACGGATACCAAATCCTTCAACCAAAATTAATAATTATGACTGACTGTGATGCGTGAGCCTTCACAAATAAGCAACGTTTATTCGATATTGAGACCTCCTTAATTTGTTCAGATCAATCACGAACACAAGCATCACTACAGCCAACGTAAAGAACTACTATTTTGTAGAATTACACTAACATCACCCTCCGAATTCCGCACAATTAATAAACCAGAATCCAGACTACATTGAGGATTCTGAATCCGACATAGGAATGGAATGCTGCCGACATGAAGAATTATGTTGGACATGACATGTTTAATGTTGAGCGGAGAAGGAGTGTCGGTGCTCGCTGGAGGAAAAAGAAAAAAAAAAAAAGAATCAACAACGGATTCTTCGGCCTTTTTTGTCCGAGAGGAGTGCGGATTCCTCTCTCATCCGTTCGCAATCAATAAAACGAACATAATTGACCTCATTCCTTAAAAAGCCGAGCTCATCTCCTCATAGGGGATTCTTCAACTGCTTTATGGTTATAATGGCAAATTAGAGTATTTAACTTGTCATTTAGTCGGAACACAATGGCATTCCGAAAGTCGTGTGATGTTGTTTACAATGTTAATTTACATTTTAATACTATTTTTCTTTTGTTTGTGGTATTGTAAAATAAATATGAATATCACACTGAAATTGGAATTCCAAAACGTAGTATAATCGAAAACAAATTGCAACTTCTTTTTTTTTTTAATTTAAGAGTGTGTAGGAATAGCTGAAGAAGAACCCCAAGGAAGTTTCAAAAAAAGGAAAATTTTTTTTCACTGTATTGTTCTGTTAAATCGTATTGATTTAGTACATATAATTATTTTATTACATTGTACTATTTATTGTACTGTATTGAGGCTGAAAACGTAATTGTACACACACATGTATATTTTCTGTATTTTATCAATGAGGATGTATCTTCAACATTAGTTTAAAATGTTAATTTAAGAAGTTAAAATTGTTAATTTAGTCAACTCCTTGCTAAAAAGATTTGTACTTTTGAACGATAAAATTATTATTATCATTAATTGAAGAGTTGTGACAAGTAAATAGATTCCGAAATATAACTATTATAAAACAGAATATGTTTTATGGTCTGTCACAACCGGATGGATAAAAGAGGCTGAAGAAACCCGCCATTCCACTCCTGTCTCTAACGCTCATCGTGATCGGCAGTTTGATGGGTGCTCGCTGAACTGGAATGGGTCGATACGATGCAACACAGATGCTATCATAATTAATACAGAATCGAGATGGCATATGGACAAATACATTTATTTTAAAATACATTGGGTAGAATGATACTTTTCTTTTTACACTCAGCCAATGGAGTTTAGACCTTCGGGCACTTTTGCAGGGAATGGGTATTGCGGCCCCCTTTACTTGTAATTGGGACACTTACAAGCAGACCACGTTACCTTGGGGTCGCCCATTTCCACCCTTTCCTCAACACCTCTAAGGAGGTTCTTGTTACTTCAAGAGAATATACGATTCACAACGGTTATAGTAAGCTTAGAACTTCCATCATGGGAATTAATCATAGAACGTAAGTTACTAAGTACAATGTGTAAGTATCTCACTAATACATTAAATAATTCGAATCGAATAGTACTTTATGAAGAGTGAATTTCAAGTAAAAGTAACCGGTTAAAGAGCAGTCACTATCTCAACATTTATAAAACTATTTTCTAACTTTTGATCTATTCATGGACATGAAATACTTTGCAATTCTAACCCGAGATTAACATATGAACATGCGTGAACTGAGCAGAACCACATACTCGAACTACAATCTACAATGTTTTAAAATTATTGTAGATGTTAATCAACGGTCACTGGGATATTCGGACTCTCTAGAAAATTTATACAACGAAAACGGAATCCATGGTCTCACAAATAATGGAATAGAAACCACACATTGATGAGCGACTTTGGCTGAGAAAGTTAATAAAATCAATCCACATGAATAACGTATGGATACAGGTCGTTCAGAAACTGTTATTCTGAACAAATGCTTAAAGATGTATACCTAACCGGCTAGGGATCGAATTCGTATACTTTCGATGTCATCAATATCATTCAAGTAAAATTGATTGATCATTTCCAAGCGGAATATGTTGAACCAACGAGTAAATTTTATTTTTTATTTTTTTCAGCATTAGAAAGAAAAAAATCAGACGAGCATTATTGGAATTTTCCATGAATGTATTTGAATATCTTCAATTTTGTGCATGATCGAAAATTTAATCAGATTCAGTTAGGATACTTTAATAAATAATTTTATCACACCATTTCAGAATAATAAGAGTGGATAGTCTTTACCTCTAATGTTAAGATAAGCGTTGCCCAAACACGACGAGTCTTGGTCTTGCGCAAGAGTCTCGCAACAGTCTTGTTGCGATTAACTTATTACTATAGAGATATTACTGTAAGCTTTTAGATAGAAGAAACCTAACTAAGCCGGAATGAAAAATTTGAATGCAAAATATATCAATTCTTTACATATAGTAACTAAAATTTTCAACTATTAGTAACTATTTTGCTTCAATTTTTATTCAAAAAATCTGTTGTTTTTTTTACCAGTCTTGGTCTTGGTCTCGCAAAGTGGTAGACAAAGACCGATTTTGGGCAACACTAGTTAAGATACTGTGCAACTGGAGCACTTAGGATTTATTATTATGGCCCATATTTAAATTTCAATGTTTTATTTTGGTAAGATAGGATTTATTATTTTCAATACACTATTGTTTGAGAAACTTATTACTTAATGGAAACCATACACGATTGCTACGTAGTCAGTAATTTTTATCTTGATAGATGATGGTGTATTATAGATTTGACGAAAACGTGAAAGTAAGAAGGATACTGTATTTTTACACTATTCCAGCAATGGATTTTTCCAGATCTGAAACATCGCTTGCTTTACTCAGATGAATACTTTTTAGGACTAAATATACTCGAAATAAACCTTTCTCCTTATGCCTAGCAAGCTTTTTCATTTTTTTTTTTTTGTAATAGATAAAAATCAAATCTATAATATAAACTGGCACTTCCGGTTAGCCGCATGTGAAGAAAAAGTTGCTGTAACATACCAGACATGTGCAAACCTTAAATGCTCAATTTCAGTAGCAGACGATTTTTTTTCTTTTTGAGCTAGACTGTTCACACAGACCATTTTGCGGGACTTGATTATTTGGACTCGAAACATAAATTTCCGTTAAAAACAACAAGATCGCAATAGACAAATACTACGTACATAGGGAAGTGAAAATAAAATAAATAAAAGAGTTTGTCGATTCTCTGAGTAAGATCTGAGGGATAAGAAACAATTTGAACCGGATCTCTTTACATTAATAAGACATACAAAGAAGCGTCGGTCCCCCCAGAAAATAGGACGAGCGGTATCCTGGATGAGTAACTGCTTGAAGAATCTGAGGACCACGGACAGCAGCCAAGATATAATGGATCACATACATCATCTAGGAATGATCTCTGGTTTACTGGCATGTCCTACTCCTGAATCCGATAGATATCAACCGACAATACGTCATGGGTTACCATCCTTCTTGGTAATCCTTGTAGTACAATGACGTAACTGTAATTAAAGCATCATTAGCCGTAAACGTATTGGCAGTATTCGGAACAAAGGTACATATATCGAGTAGAACTGTATCAGTTTTGAGTTCCTGGTAGACATGGAAAAAAAAGTTACATTTTGTCTAAACATCACTAAAAGAAACTTCTTTTAACAGAACAATTTATTTTAAAAATGTTATTTAAACGCGGACAAAACATTGATGATTTAATAAATAACAAAGCAAATAGGCCACAAGATTAGCAGCTGGACGAAATAACAGACAAAGACCAACATGATCGTAAGTCATAGCAGATAACCATAGTTGATTTATATTAAAATTGTTACTGTTAAAAGTTTAAAAAAAAAGATCAAACTGCAATATTCAATTCTGACTTAGAATGTGGAAACCTGCCTGGTATATAGATGTTCTTTTAAATAAACAGGAACTATAATTTAAATCTTGCGGAATCGTTTCGTTCCAACATCCCTGAACTTTGGTCCGAAACGTCGGCAAAAATAAATATAAAGAAGAAGATGGTCCGGGGTGGCGGTCATAAATAGTGGTAAAACTATTTTATTAAAAACAGGTTTTTAATTTAAGGCAACGGTCAACTATTAAATATTCAATATGACTCAAAAATAAATATACTTATTTATTTTTACTTTTTTGACTGATCGCTCCAAACATTCTTCTTTTCAATTATTCACTACAGTCGACGATTAATCCGCAATTATAATTTAAATCAGTAACAAATCCAGGATTTAATTTTGGGCCTCAATGCTCCTTACTCTGTTACAAATAAAATTATCCATAATGACCTTAATGTTTCTTATGTATCAGATTTGGCCCAATCCAGATATCTGTCCTTCCATAATAAACTTCATAACCATCCCAACCCTCTTGTCTTTAACCTTGCTTCCTATTTGATTCCTGATAAGCCTCCGAGGCGTCTGAAAAGAAGATGGCCACGTGATCTTCTAATATAGACATATTATTAGAGTGGTACCAATGGGTAGTTTCTCAACATGTGTTCCATGTCTTTATACCAATGTGCGAATTTACCAGATGTATTTTTTGTATACAGTTGTAAATATCATATAAATAAATAATAATAATAATAATAAATTTTGGGAGGCGTTTTTTTATTTTTTTTATTTATTAATAACGGTAATGACTCCCGAAAAATAAGAAATAAACTACATAAAATAATGTTTATTTGGTCCTTATTTTTAAGTACAGCCCTTGCTGCTAAGAAAAAAGAAAAAAAAAATTGTACTCAACATGCTGAAAAAAATTATGAATAATTTTTCATGTTTTTACCTTTTCATGGTTATTTCGGCTGTTGGAAATTCGGCACAAATGCTATTAGAATAAATAATTCAGTGATTTCCTCTAAAATACCTAACGAATTTTCTCTTGTTTCTTTTTTTTTTATTTATTTAGAAATATAACAATCTGTCACGTGGACAATAATTATAGTGATATATGATATAACACATTCATACAGAAAATATAAAATTAACAAAAGTCAAATAATAATCAAAAACTATGTAAAATGAAATAACCTAAAGATAAGTAAATTAAAAAAAAAAAAACACAATCATACCTATATACAATATATACAATCAGATAGGGAACCTCTTGTTTCTAAACGCATTTTTTTAATATGCACGGAGTTTTATCAGAGCTACTAATAAATAGATATCGAGTACAATAAACTATGACATAATAACTACTTTCGATTACGTATCAGATTTTCTGTTTGTTGAAGGAAGTTTCCACGGTTGTAACGGTTAAAAAAAAAAACATATTTTACTTGTTTTGTCGCTGTGACAATCGATTCCAACGATACCCGTCCCCTGTATGTCTAGATTTAACATAAATTCGTACTTTTTTTTTTTTTCTGTCAAGTAGATTCCTCATTGCCCAATTATCTGTCTACAAGTATAATCCTCAACTATTTAGAAAATTTTCCCACGTCGGATAAAAACAACCCAAGATGAATTCTAAGGATGTGCCGCGGATCAAGGAGTTGAATGCGAGCGAGAAGGGCTTATATATAAACTGTTACAAACTTCAGAGAAATATCTTTCCAAGAGAATACACAAACAGTGAGTTTTCCGTTTTACCGCACCCGAAATAGGGTTCGGTTTTGAGCTGTGGTTCTAACTAAACAAAACTAAGTAATCTTACTGAGGAGCGGTCTTTTATGAAAAGGATCCAGATGTGCTCACATGTGCGTGAAAATGTTGAACAGAACCAAGAATATTTAATTGCAAAACCTATAAAAAAAAAAAAAACTACACGTGTGACTGAACGAATAGAATAGTTTATTTTATTAGTCTGAGGATATTCCTCTTATATAAAGGCATTATGTATATAATTAGTAAAACTTTTTTTTTCAACAATAAATTTTTAAAAATAATCCAGAGTTATATAACAATATAAATATGCGTTAATTATTGTTACTAAATTATTATTCACAGTATTTATTGGCTACGTATTAGATAAATTTCGTAAACTTAAAGCACACACCTTGCCTAGGATAAAGATTTGGCTCACTGCCCGGGCTGCCTTCCTAGAAATAACTATAGATGAAGAAGCGTAAAGAATATAATGTCTAATATCATAAAAAAAAAAAAAAAAAAAAAAAAAAAATGGACTAAATAATATTTTTTTTTTAATTTTACTTCAAATTAATACTTCTTTTTTAAACGTTATACCTATGAAAAATTTGAAAATATTAATTGAATTCATTCATAATTAATGAATTTTCTGCTTTTGTATTTTTTTTTTAAATTTAAGTGGAGCAATTTAATTACATTTTTTTTTTAAGTTTTCAGGAAATATTAATTAATTTTTTAAAATAATAAATAATACTTGTATCTGAGGGATCGAAATGAGAATTAAATCAAAATTTATTTACGAACCTTTCCTTTATAAGTTCTGTTAAAACGATTTTTTTAAATACCCACCCCTCCCAAAACAAAAGAAAAAAAATTAACTAAAGAGAAGAATGGGGTTATCAGCAACAAAAATAGTAAATATAAATAATTAAATATAATAAAAAATATAAAATAAAAATAAATATAATTATTTATTTTTACTGATCACCCCAACCATTCTTCTCTACAATGATTCACTACAGTCAACCATCATTTCACAATTAAAAATAAAATTAAAGTTTATTTCGAATTTCAATTTATTTTTTTAAGAACTTAATTAAATTAAAATTTAAAGCAAAAAGAATTACTTAAACTATGAAAACAGATCTCTCCCTCTCTTTTTTTTTTTTTTTAATATAAGTTCCAAAAAAGCTTCAAGACCAGGAACCATTCCAATATTTTGATGTCCTCTAAACCTAGGTGTTTTTTAAGATGTTTCTCTAAACCTAGATGTTTTTAAACAGCTAGCGAACCGTGAGCTAAACCGTCTTAACGAATGACAATTCTGTGTTCCCCTTAAACACTTCCTCTTTTTTAGCCCTAACTTAATAGAGATTAATTACCACTGTGGACGACTCCATTTGAATAAATATGCATAAATTAAGAATTAATTTCCCTCAGCACTTCAATCCCCTCGGAGTTTTTAAACCTCTTCTCTAACCGAGTTTTCTAACTAGCTAAGTGGCCTCGTTGTTGGAGAACAAATACCTAAGCTTATTAAGTTATGGTCTTGTATAAATTCAGATTAAATAATGAGAGCTTTTCTTTTCTTCTTATTCAATATTCTATTATTTCGCAATTTACACTTGTGTAGGTTTAAAAAAAAGGGGGGTAGCTCAGAGGTAGGAGGGCCCTGATCTTTCAATGCTCAAGATCTCGCGTTCGAATCTCGACTAATGCAGAAAAATTATTTATTCTGTTTCATCAGCTGTGGGGCGACCCTGGGATCAGCAGACCCTTCGTGGGCATACCCAGCCTCTATAAAGTTGGTACCCTTAATTAAATAATTAATTAAGTGGGAAAATCTGGCGGTTGAGAGTGATCTCAGTCGAATCACCCCTTGTACAACCGTTGACTAAGAAACATTACTTTTCCTAAATAGTGTTGAACTCAAGACCCTTCATGAGTTGTAGTGGAACAGGTAGGTTCAAAAAAACTAGTTTCAAAGAACTCAATCAAATCAAATGCAATGATTTTTTTTTTTTTAAACTATTTATTCAAGATATGTATAAATGTATTACATAATATATACATCAAGTAAATGTGTACACAGGAATATAATCACATGAAAACGCTTGTTGAGAAACTACCCAATGGTAGCACTCTAATAATATGTCTATATAAGGAGATCACGAGGCCAACTTCTTTTCAGACGACTCGGGGGGTTATCACAGGAATCGAAGAGGAAGCAAGGTTAGAAACGAGACGATTAGGATGGTTATGAAGTTTATTATGGAAGGATAGTTATCTGGATTGAGCCAAATCGGAAACATATGGAACATTAAAGTCTTTATGGATTATTATATTTGTGACAAAGTAAGAAGCATTGAGGATTTTACGAAGGATTTTGGATTGTAAGGGTTGGATACCAGAGGAATTTGATGGTTTAGTGGAGCCTCTTGGAGCGTTTGTCCCCAATGATGTTCAAACCCTAATGTAAGATCCTTACACCACACACTACGTCCTATTTTTTTTTTTGGTTAGACTATATTAGACTTTTATACAAAGAAGGACATTAGTAACAAAGATAAAATAATTCTTTAAAACCATATTTAAACAAAATGAAAATAAATTAACCGGAATGAGAACAGAACAATAATAAAAAAAGAAAAGACACAGATATTATATTTAAATTATTCAAAATATCAACTTAAACAGGTATATTGAGTACCTGATGGTTGGCCGTTGCATATTATTGAGGAAGGAGATAATCCGTGGTGGCGGTCATAAAAAGACTAAAGTAGTGAGAAACATAACTTTTATTTCAAGTCAACGTTTCAAGCCGACTTTGAAGGTTTTCTTCAGGGCTAAAACGAACGAGAACCAGAAGACAATGGCATGTGTCAAGCAAGTTCGTAAGGATCTAGAAAGATCCAGCATCCGGAGTGTTCAGATGCTGGATAGTATTCCAATATGGATTGTAATTCAAGGTTTCAAGTCGAAAAATCTGTGGACGAGGAATGGAAGTGCCTGGAGAGTTGAACGGAAGAAGCAACGGCTTTATTAAGGAATACTGGAGGAAGTGGACACATTTTACGTAAAGGTTCGTTTAGACATTTTACAACCTATAGGAAACACAATTATTTAACTCAACTAATATCGACTTTAACAATTATTTCTCGCGTTACTGACAGTAGAAGAAAATCATCAAAACACAGGGGGGAAAATTTAAATATGTGTGTTTCCCATAGTTTGTGAAATGTCTAAACTCAACTTGAGAAATTTAAAAAAGAAATTGTAGCGTGATCATAAGTGGCTAATCCGAAAATAAAAATGTATTCGTATCAATCTAATCTTAAAAAATCAAAGGTTCGCTAATTCACACAAAGATAGCATAACTTTTATATTTTAAAGTTAATTACAAAATAACAGTTACAAACCTCTGAATATAGTCAGGTATAACTTCATTAAATTAGAAGAAAATGAAAAATAGCTTTACAATTGTGATTTGAAATAAATACCGGACAGGGACACATAAAAAAGAATTCCAAAAACTAACGGAAACCCGATTCCCAGGAAACCTAAATAAAAAAGAAGAAACACACGATGTAAAGGAAGTTGGGTAGAAAATTCAACAATTTGTAATTCGTTCAATTTTGTTATCGGGTTGATCTACACTGGTCCCCCCAAAGCTAGCGGCGATTATGCGTTGACGCGGAATAATCAGCAGTGTTTAGCCAAAGGTAATCACCCGAGCTCACGCCAACCTTCAGCTGCCTCTTGGCCCCTCAAAACATTCAACATCAACTTGCTTCTAAAACTCAAATCATCCACACCTCTCAACCGGATCGGAGCCACCCACGGAATTCGAAAATTCCACGCAACGCCGAAAATAACGGATGATTTCGTTCGGAGCGGTTGCATTCGGGAGAACACGCGAGAAATTACAGCCACAATTTGATTTGAATCAGGCGGGATAGTCCAAGGTGGAATTCTGTTATTTCAGGACGACTGTATCGAAGGCGGATATCAGGACGCCATGCTATAATTACTATAGTTCATTTATTTATATATATATATATATATATATATATATATATATATATATATATATATATATATATATATACCCGGCTTGGGGTATCGGAGCTGAATTAGAAGTAAGAAAAATTTGGTATTATTGTTGAAATATTATGAAACTTTTAATTGTTGTAACAATGATAGGTATTGTTTTTCCAGAACTGAAGAGGATCCCATTATTTATGTTAAAAAACAGGGATCGAAACGTTTGAATAAAAAGAATAAACAGAAGTTGTTTTAGCTCATTTAAGTGTATTTAATGACCTATTATCCGACTAAAATTGAGATCTAAAGCCATATATATAAATATATATTCATGACTAATACGTATAGCAATTCATATATTTCGACATTATCACAGAACAAATGGTGAGATTCTTAATATGCAGTACAAGTTTTATTCATTATAAAATAAAACCCATGAACGTGGAGAAAAAGGAACAACCTACCTACCCCTAGTCCCAAGGAAACTTAAGGTTCGATTTTTTTTTCCTAGTAATATTTCTGAAAATAAAAATTATTAGAAATAACAACTATTATATACAATAAGAGAAGGAAGAAATAAATAAAAAAAATGTTCACCATACATATCATACAAATCAATACACATTCAGTAAATGTTATAAAGAAAAATACATGACATGACAAGGCTTGTAGAGAATCTAACCATTGGTAGCAAACTAATAAAGTATCTAAATTAGGAGATCACGAAGCCATCTTCTTTTCAGAGGCCTAATACTTCCCCTTACTATATATTACACATATATGTAAATAAAACCAAAAAATAAATAAACAAGATACTAGACTGTGGCGAAATTTTGGAAGCCTATGTATACATATATACACACATAATGGACAGTGCTATTTATTAATTAATCGTATTACTTTATATCATTTGGAACAACGACGCAATTAAATTTTTTTTGTCTACTTTTTGTTGAATTATAATGATCTCCAAGATACAGCTTTGAAAGTAAGTTTCGGTGCTTATGGTACATTAATGTGATCAAACTGGTGCACACTTCTTCATTTTTTAGATGAAGGAGATGGTTGGCGGTCATGAATAGACTAAAATAGTGGAAAAACTATTTTATTTGAAACCAACGTTTCGACCCGACTTTGCAGGTCTTCTTCAGGGAGGTACATTAGGCAAGGAGTTTTAGTTAAAACTAATACTTCGCTTTATCCGAAACATCTCCTTCCTCTAAAATATACAACGGTCAACCATTAAGTTTTCAATCATTAATTTTTTATTTGTAACTCATTTACTTATTTTTTACTATTAATATTATTATTATTTTAATAGACTTTTTTGTTAATTACAATTTACAAATATCTTACTTTTAAGTATGGTCTGATTATTTCAATATTTAACAAATACAATCAATGAACGAACATTTTGATTCCAACTTATGCAGATTTCGCCTATAAATTGAATACCTGATCCTTCATTAACCACAACCTTCTTTTTCAACCGTTGATCTCTTAACAGTACATACTTGCTAAGTACCGAGGACTCTTTATTGATGGGCTGTAGAGGTATTGTGTATTAGTTCAATAATGTATTCAAATTGAATGTATCCAGGCAATATTTTATTTTTTATAAGATTTTAAGTGTTTATTTCTTTGTTTTAAGATTCCTTTTTTTTTTTTTCCGTCAAGTTTTCAAAAAGATTTTTCTTATTAAATTATTTAATATTCCATGGTTAATAATAACTTAGTTTAGGCAAGTTCTGTCAGCGCTGAGTTTAGGAACTTAGCCTTTTTCTTAACGTCAAGAAGTTCAGAATTAATAAACAAATACAATAAATAAAACAGGATCTTTAGTTGGATATTATGAAAACAACTGTGGATTTCTGTCCAAATATTGACTATTTATAAATTCAGGCTGTCAATCTTTTTTTTACTACTACAATATTAATTAGGTCTCCAATCAAATAATTGAACAATAGAGTTGATTGACTATACCGAAAAAATGAATATTCAACTAAATCTAACAACGGAATGCAAATATCAGATTTAGACTTTTATTCGAAACACGAGGTGACTAAATCAGAACGCGTAACCGCCTGTTGTTTTTGTCGGGTAAATTTTGTTTACATTCCACAAGTTATTTTTAAAAACAGACCGAAACAGATGTACTGGACAGATTCTGGAGACGTTCGTTGAAATGGTAAGATAACTCAAAGTATTCCAAACAAGAAATTTTTACATTTTTCTATATTAAATAAGAAATGAATAATTGGGAAATGGTATTGTAATTTATGTAATTGACCGCAGTGTAATTAAAGTAAAGAGATTTTCTGTGAACGACCAATATAGAGAGGTATAACAATTTGTAAATAAAGAAAGGAAAATATATACGTAAACATACAAAATCAGGTAGGAATAAATAATAAACGAAACGTGAAATAAAATAAAACGTGAATGAAAATTATTTATATATTTTATACACCTAAATTGTCATACTTATTGCTTATTTTTTTTTTTCATTGAGCCCTAAATTTTGTGTACAGTATTGTAAGTATATGCTGATTTTAAGTATATCCCTGTTAAAGCCGGATTTTTAGTATATTTTAATTAATTAAAATTCATACTTAGTTTATACCACACATGAAATAAAATGTCATTCATTATAAATCATTCTCGGTACAAAAATAAAACAACAATCATAGGATAATAAAATTAGAGAGGTTATCCAAATTTATCTAAGATATTTTTTACAGATGTGGATAATTTAAACATAACAGATTATAATTAAGTATATTAATTGGCATCATTAAAACCTATCTGGTACACCTGTTAGGCTATAAACAACGTTAAATTTTGATTCATTTCCATATCATAAAACACATTAACTCCATTACTTACATCTTAAAGGAGCAATTATTTAATATTAATTCGGTTAAATTTATATTTCACGTTATGAAATACTCTCACAAGATGAAAAAAGTGTTTATATTAAGAAAATATATGATTGTTATAAATCTGAGGCATGGCGCCAAAGGGAGAGTAGGTACTGCTGTCCAAAGAGTTGAGCCTCTTGCCAAACCGATAAATCCAAGCGACCACGAACTCACGATCGTAGGAAACGGTTGAGGAACGTGGTCGAGAAACTTTCAGTACGGAAGTTCCCCGGAGTATAATGTACGCATGAATTTTAAAAGCATGGAGGAATATAATTGGAACCTGATTTTATCAAAAGCTCCCCCATTCCTTCCCCTCCTCCGATATACGTGGATGGAATGGGAAGAGGATTTTGAGTCTCAAGGGGGTGACGTTCACCCTCATATCGTTTGGAAGGATGGGGGAGAGAGAGATCTGGATGTTTTCAGGTAATCCGAAATTATCAATTTTGAAATTGAAATTTTTTTCACGCGTTATAAATCAAATACTTTTTAAAGCAATTTCGTTTAATTCCTGAAGACTAATGAATTGAATTGTAAATTATAAAACATATTTGAAAAATAACATGATGGCCTTATCAGATTTGTTACAAGGGCAAAACGCTTAACGGTGCAACGGAAAATGATTAAACTACATGGCAAAATGTTTTTTTATTTATTATTATTTATGAAATTTACAACTGTACAAATATACATTCAGTAAATGTTATACAGAAAAATACATGACATGACAAGGCTTGTAGAGAATCTAACCATTGGCAGCACTCAAATAAAGTATCTAAATTAGGAGATCACGAAGACATCTTCTTTTAAGACGCCTTGGGGGGATATCAGGGATCGAGGAGCAAGCAAGGTTAGAAACGAGAGGATAAGAATCGTTCTCAAGTTTATAATGGAAGAAAATGTATCAGGATTGGGCCAAATCGGAAACATATGAAACATTCGGGTCGTTATGGATTATTTTATTTGCTGCAAAATAAGGGGCATTGAGGATTTTACGAAGGATTTTGGATTGTAAGGATTGGATACGAGAGGAATTCGATGGCTTAGTGGAGCTCCAAAGCTCAACTCCATAAGTCCAAATAGGCCATTATTATAGTCATGTATATGAGTCTTTTGTAATTAATTGAAAGCTTAGAGCGTTTGTCTAGTAAGTGGAGTAGTCGGAAACGTCGAGCGGTTTCTTGTCGTTTCAGTCTGGTATGAGGATTCCGAGCTAGACGTTTGTCCAGATTGAGTCCTAGGTTATGTTAAATTTAATAGTAGAAATGATTCTAGTCCTTTTCCCATCAACTTAAAATTCGAACCATACATTCAATTTAATTCACTTTTTTTTTTTTTTTTTACGAACGTTAGATCTTTGAGCCAAACTCGTTACAGAGTGTTTGTAAATAAGTAACAATCAATTAAATAACGACTAGCAATATTTTAAAGGACATATAGGTATATATACCTAGTTTAAATGACATAAATAAAGGTCTACAGTGATATGATGAAGCCAGTTCTAATGTAACGCTGAGAGTACTCTAGAAATAAGTACTGAAAGATTTGAGAGAAAAATCTTTCACACGGTAACCGAAGCGATCTTGGATCAGATCACACAATTGGAAGAGAAAGAGCTGTTTACAGAAACTGGTCAATCAATATTCCACGATATGAAAACAAGGAAGTTAAGATGGGTGGGACACGTAGCTCGGATCAATCAATCATGAAGCCTCTACACAACAATAAATGCCACAATAGTCGGCGAGAGACCATGTAGATAAACCGCCATAAAATTACATGAAAATAACTGGAAAGAAATAGCCTGATATAGGCTGAGATGGAGAGGGCTGGTTAAAGCAATCTAAAGATCTACAACGTCTGTAATGCGCATATATATATATATATATATATATATATATATAGATATATTTTTTTTTTCGTATTTTTTGAAGGTATTTCTCTTTGGAATGGTTCTGATAGATAACTGGTT